TGTCCCACTCAGGCACAAAGATAAGTCATTCGACGGTATAGAGAATGCCATCTTTTTCCTTCCTTCCTTCCTTGGTGAACTCCAAAAGTCCTTTAGCCATAGGATTTTGAGTGATGCCATCCTTAATCCGATTAATAATGTCGCTTGCTTATAATGCTAACACTAGCAAGCATAGCCTTGGGCTAAGAGCGTTCTCAACAACGTTTGCTTTGCCCGACTTGTACTCCATGGCATAATCGAACTCAACCAAGAAGTCTTGCCATCGAGCTTGCTTGAGGCTTAGCTTCTTTTGATTTTGAAAGTAGCTTGTTGCGACGTCGTTGTAGTTAACCGACTCCTAAGCATATAGTGCCTCCAAATCCGCTTGCCGTGAATGATAATTGTCATCTCTTTGTCGTGCACCGGATACCTCTTTTCGGTATTATTGCTTGCGTACTCATAGCTTGCGTACTCATAGGTTACGAGATGCCCCTCTTGCATGAGCACCCCTTCAATAGCAAAATAAGAGGCATTCGTGTGATGTTCTAATGCTTTGGCTAGTCAGTGCTAAAAGATGCTCTTTGGTAACTGTTTTATTGACTGATGTTGCCGTGTCAAATAACTCTTAATGAAGCGGCGGTAGTAGTTGGCTAGCTCAGAGACATTGTAGGGCTCTTCCCACTCATTGATGTAGCGCACCTTGTCATGTTCCATCACGATCTTCCCAGATGCGTTGCCATAAATAAGACACCTCCCCCAGCGAACGAGCACTTCTCCTTCTTAACATACAACTCGTTCTCATGCAAGACCTTGAACACTTGCCTTAGGTGTTGCACATGGTCTTGCAACACGACAATATCATCAAGATAGACGACGACAAATTTGTCTAAGCAGCACCGAAAGATTTTGTTCATCAAAGTGCAAAATTTAGTTAGGGCGTTGGTAAGGCCAAAGGGATCAAGAACTCATACGAACCATAGTGAGTGACGCATGCCGTTTTATGCTCATCCCCATCAGCAATGCGCACTTGCTAAGTCAAGTTTAATGAAGAAGTACTTGGCTTTACCCAAGCGGTCGAACTAGTCTGTGACTAACGAAATTGGATACTTGTTCTTTATAGTAATCTTGTTGAGTGCCTGATAGTCGATGCACATACGCAAGCTCCTATCGTGCTTGCGTAGGAAAGCACGGGTGCTCCATATGGTGCTTTGGATGGCCTTATGAACTTTGCATCCTCGAGTTACACTAACCTCTTGTTCTCAGTGAAGCTCTTCATCAACATTCATCAACATTCAAGGATGTTGCTTACCCATTTTTTATGCCTTTCCGAGAATGGCTCACCGCATCTTGGCTTTGACCTCCTCGCGAGTGATAGGAACGGTCCAAGCCCCTTGATCCTTCTCGATAGTCATGGTTTCGGCCCTTTGAAAAGTCCATGGATCACTAAGTTCATGAACTCTAGCCCAAGCATTAGATCAAAGTCATCCATTTTCATGACTGTCAAGTCCACCGTCCCCTTCCATTCACCCAAACAAAGAGGGACTCCATGAGCCACACCATGGATAGGTGCTGTAACACCCCAAATCTCCCTTTACGAATATACTAGAATGGTATGTATAAAATACCGTAGAGATAGAATTAGGCGTATTACCGCCACGTGAAAACGTAAGGCTAACTCAAACCCACTAATTTAGTAGCGGAAATTAAAACCAACTTTATATTATTACTCCACGTGAAATCACCACGAATGCTTACCAAAATTGGTAAACAGGGCGAACCAAAAACAAATAGGAATACGTGTTAGCAAAAATGCTAAGTACATATAACTGCAAGACATGTTAAATTCTTTTATTAGGCAAACATGCTTCTGAAATAGTTACTTAATTTAAACATGCCAAAATATGACTTCGTTAAAATTCATCACTCTCCAAAATTGACTTCCCAAATTTGTACTTTCCAATATAGACTTTCTAAACATAGGAATATTTAAAGATATAAACTTTCCAAATAAGTAGATTTCCAAGCATGTATAAAACTAGAATTTAGCCTGTGCACTTGTTGGTTAAATATTTAAATGTTTTTAAATAAAGAGTTGTTTTATTGTAAATTTGGATTGCTCTACGTTTAATTTAAATCAGATTAAATATAAGTATAAATTGCATTGGAGAAATACTACCTAATGCAAAAAATCAAGGCAATGAAAAAAAAAGGAAAAAATAATTCAAAATCAAAAAATAAAGAGAAGTCAAATACAATATTTATCAACACATAAAAAAAGATAAGATCTAATTTAAAAAAAAAAAATCATTATAACATTAAAAAAAAACTATAAAGAAAAACCAAAATCCATCCAAAAACAGGAAGTTGGAAGGACACTTAAAATCATCCAAATCTTAAAAAAAAAAAATAGCTTAGTGGATCTAATTCAAAATTTAACAAAATCAATATTAAAATACTCCTAAATGAAAACCAAAAGCAAAGACAAAGTAAAAAAAAAAAAAAAAACCATGTAAAAATTAAAATATAGCCAGGATTTTTATAAAAATGTAACGAAATTATACAAGAAATTGTAAATAAAAATAAAAAATCAAATTTGTAAACATTGAATATAAAAAATTATAAATATCTATGAAAAACGCTAGATGAAATTCTATAGCACAAAACGTTTATAAATAAAATAAAGGAAAAATTTACAGGAATAATCCCACTTTTAAGGGATCTTTCAAAATAGTCTAACCTTTTAATTAACTCAATATAGTCCAAATTTTTGTCATTGTCTGCTAAAATTGGCTCGGTTCTGCTTTATAGGTAATAAATTTTTATTAAATTTTCTTTTTTGGATAATTAAGATATTTTCTTTGATCTTTATCCAAACTGGTATCATTTTTCCTCTCTCTTCCTTCATTTTCTATCATCCATCTTCCTTTTTTACAATTACTGTGAAATAGTAATTGGTAATTTGATGTACACATCAACTTAGGAATTTCTAATAATACTACTTGGCTTCCCTTAATTTTATAATTTCCTCAGCAGATATAAATGTAGTTGGAAGCATGGTATAAAAACTCGCCCGTTATGTCGCGATGCGGCCGAGACTTAACGGATTTCGAGCCTGCCGATACGAGATTTCCCGTTTTGTAACGGGTTTTTTTTGAAAACACCGCATTTTCAGGTGATACAGGAGATATTCAGTCAGAACGCAAATAAATAGCTTGAATTTTGTGGCAGCTCCATTGTTTCTGGTGACTGCATGATAAAGAATTAGAAAGAGAAAGAGGGAGAAGGTGAAAGGTTGATGAGCTGGGAGTGTGGGACAACTGTGTGGTCAAGTGAACATGTAATTGTTCTTTAAAATATTTTATATTTTTTTTTACTTTACCCATGTCCTCACAAATTCTTGTCTTTTGGACCCACCTTTATTTATTTATTTATTTACTTTTATTTTTTTACAATTTATGTACTATGTGCCACTTTTATTAGTTTCTATTATTAGTTTGTTTTCAACTTAAGTTCTGATTTTTTATGAATTAGCACATAAAAATTATTGAATAAATAATTATAAGTTTTTAAAATTTTCTACCGTGATCACCGCGACCCAGTCCGAGATCAACGCATCATTTGTGTTACCGTATTACCGCGACCGTTCCTGCGATCGCGATCGATACCACATTTTTATTGTATGGTTGGAAGTCGATGAAACCCACCAAGAGCAAGAATAACAAATCTAAGTGAACCATTACTGTAATTAATAACGTTACTCCATTGACGGATACAGATCAACTTCCATAATCGTTCATCTTAAGCCATCCGATTACACTATTTGCTTACCCATGATGCTGTAGCAGAGGTTTTTGTTTAATCTTGCAGATTGGGAATCGGAATCGGAATCGGAATCAAAATCAAAATTGTTGGTTGGTTGATCTTCATCTTGATCTTTGATTTTGGGTTTTTTGGTTATTGGTTGTGGTGGCTATTATGAGAAGTATTTGGATGGTTTGGCAGTCGATTTTGGGTGGTGGTTTAGGGGTGGTTTCGGTGGTCTGGTTATGTGCGGTGGTTTCAATACTCTCGTGGTTTGCTTGGTGGTAAGGTTGGGTCGTCGAAAGGGAGGTCAATGGGTTGGGTGGTCGGTCGCGTGTGTTGAGTGGGTTTAGTAGGTGGTGAGGGCTTGGTGGTAAGTTGTAGACAGGGTGGTTCGTGGTTCGGCGGTGGTTTATTGGGTGTTGGTTTTTTTTTTATTGATTAAAACTAATTAATAAATTTAAATTGATACTTTTAATTTAAAATATTAATTAATTAAGTTGGAACCAATTAGGATAAGACACTTGTGCAGTTAACTTATTGAATAGGTTACCATTAGGTCTCAATAGGTTACGTACCATTTTAGGAAGATAGATGTAAAAGGTGGGATTATATTGAGTTAATCCAAAGGTTGGACCAATTTGAGAAGACAGCGAAAATGTGAGATTATTCTCATCAATTTTTCCTAAAATAAAAACAAAATTCATAAAAAAAAGAATCAAAAACGAATTTTAGGAAATAAATTTGAAAAAAAAACCCAGCAAAAAACACCATATCAAATCTAAATAAAAAAAATTCATTAAAAATGATAATGAAACATACAACGAAACAGTAAAATAAAAACAATTAAAATATAAAAATCACTTTAAACATTGAAAAGAAAATAAAAACTATACATACATATCTTTATAAAAACTCAAATGAAATTTCAAAGCACAATTTGCTTTAAAAAATGATTAAATTCAAAATCATAAAGAAATGAATTTTGGAAACAAATTCTAAAAATTCAACATATTAAGTTATTATTACACCTGGATAGTGATGTTGTTATCATTAATCAATCTGCTTTAAAGCAGTTATTTTTTCTGTTAATGTTGCTCTTCCTCTTCCAAATTCAAAATTTCTACATGTAATCCCTTTGTTTATATTTCATATAACTGTGGTAGCTGAGCGCGGTCTTTCAAGTAGTCTAATTTTCATCCATTGTTTTTCTTGGACAGGTTTCAATGCAGCAGTTGCTGGTTGTTTCTTTGCTATTGAGACAGTATTAAGACCTCTTCGTGCTGAAAATTCACCTCCGTTTACAACTGCAATGATAATATTAGCTTCTGTTATTTCATCAACCGTGTCAAATGAATTGCTAGGGAATAAATCAGCTTTTACAGTGCCATCGTATGATTTGAAATCGGCAGCAGGTATTTATTTCTCTTACTATCACTTACTAAACACCAATATTCATTGTTAGACTATGTTACTTGGACTCGTACGTGTCCGAGTGTCTAACTCGTATGTGTCCGAGTGTCTCGGCTATTTTGTGAAAAAAAATCTATGATTTTGAACTAAAATGAAGTTCAAAGTGTCGAGGGTCCAACACGAGTACTTGAGGTAAAATGAAGAGTGCAAGTAACATAGTTGTTGGACATACCTATTAGTTTTAAATAAAGCACAATTTAGTACACAGTCACTCTCATATTAAGTAGATTAAGTTGGACATAAAGTGTTGCTTAACGTATGAGATCAATAACAAACAGGTAAAGATGAGATACTATTAGGAATATGGGAATTTATATTAGGGAAATTCTCATTGATACCATTGTGGTATTGACTTTTCCCATTGATACACTTGAAATTTTGTCTTCCCACTTGTACACCTGTGGTTTGGTCTTTTTCCTAGCCGTGACTAACACCGTTAATAACTATTAAATTAAGTTAACTAATTAATGAAAAGACTCTGATACCCCTTAAAACATCTAATGTCTCGTTTTGTGTGTCGAAAATGGTTCGGCTAAAGTTAACCTCAAAATTAGCAAAAAAAAAAAAACACAAGTGTCTCTCGTATGCGTGTCGAGAATTGTCTCGTTTTGCGTGTCGTTATTTTTTCGTGATAATAATTGTTCCGTTAAGGCTTTAGGGGTAATTTTGGTTCTTTATGGGTCTAAATTTAGCTCGAAATTGACAAAAAAAATAACAGAAATGTCTCATTTTGCTAATTTCGAGGTCAATTTGGACTCTTAAGGGCTATAATGACCCCTAAAACTTTGACCGAATAATTTTCGACATGCAAATCGAGACATTAGATGTTTAAGAGGGGTGTTATAGTCTTTTCTTTAATTAATTAATTAATATAATTTGCTAGTTATTAACGGTGTTAGTCACGGTTTGAGAAAAAGACCAAACCACAGGTGTACCAATAGGAAGGCAAAATTTTTGGAGTGTATCAATGGGAAAAGTCAATACCACAGTGGTACCAATGAGAATATCATTGTAATATATTTTCCATATGGACCTTTGATAGTATTTAAGATGATTATATATCTTAGCGATATGTTAAGATAAAATTATGTTAAGTGATAATTAGAATATTATCTTATAGGAAGTTGTTAGGTGTTATGATTGTTTCTTAATAGTTGAGATTGACTAGGTTATCCCTTGTATAAATGGTTGATGATTATTACAATAATATGAGAAGCTAAAGTGCTAAATTGTTAAGCCTTTTTACCCTAAACTTGTTTCCTGATAATATATTTTCATATATCCCTAAGAGAGCAATAGAGTATTTGGGTTTGAAGTTTGCAATTTTTAGGGTTTATTTGGTGGTGGTTCCGGGTAAAAAGACAATGGAAAAGGTAGAGAATGGGTGGCATATTAGTGGTTCTTGCGGTGGTCAAAACAAAGAAGAAAATGAAGATAATAGTTGTTAAACCCTTCTCTTCTTTGTTGATTATCACAATTCTTGGTTTGGTTGTGAAATGAGTATTATAAATTTAGATAATTGTTGGTAAAGTGGGAGTTTTAATGATGTAATATGGAGGAAGGAGAGGTAAGAAGGGTGCTTGGAGCTGCCATGGGAGGAAGGTAAGAGAAATCTATGATTTATTTTTAATCTCTCTTCGTTCCCTTTTGTTTTTGATGTTTGGAATTATTCGAGGTTTTTAAGGAACTGTGTAAAGTAGAGGTATATTGGAATTAGTTCAATGATTAGATGTACATTTTCATTAATATTAAGAATATTGTAGATGTGGGGTGAAGACTATAAAAAGAAAAGCAAGGTTGTAGAAGGAGGAGAGAGAAAGTAATAATAAGTCTTGAAAACCCATTAAAATATTGCAAATGGTACGATTGCACATGGAAAATTAAGGACAATAGAGTATTTAATTTGCATAATAAGGGTAATTTTGTCCAAAATTAATGACTTAAAAAATAAAGATCCTAAATGTAAAGTGGAACACCCTAATTGGAAGCATAAAAAAGGGAACGGAGGGAGTATTTATCAAATTAGTGAATCTAGGTCATGGAAGTTAATTTACAAATAACAAAGGGTCACGTAATTTATAAATAAAAAGGGTCATTTTTGAAAAAAAAAAAAATTCACCATATGGAAGTTCACAAAATACAAGTCACCATGTAACATATCTCGAGTTTTTTCTTGTTGTTACCCTTAGTTTAGTTTTACTTCTAAGCTCGAACTTAATTACCCATCTATATTACTGCTACATTGTTTTAATTCTACTAAGGGCATAGAAAGGATAAACAAAATTTCCCTTCCTCATTTCTCACGCATTAATCATAGCACGACATCCATCACAAAGTCACATGTGGTTTCCCTTTTATAAAGCAAGGAACCAATTATTCTTGTATTACTAGGATAAATGAGGAGATAGATTTATGTATTGGTTCATATGCTAACCCCAACAAGTCCTACACAATAAGTGGAGCCTAAAGACACAAGGTAGGTTTCGAGTTCGTGCTATGATTATACTCAAAGTAATGCCATATACGAGCAAGAGAATGGCCTAGCTAGAAGTCACATGGCCTTTTAGGTTAGTAGAACACATGTCCAAGTACATGGGATTTGTGGCAAGGTGCCACAACCGTATACATTAATAATGTAGTTTGACGTGGTTATGGGGGTTTCCTTGCAAGCTACAATGTTTCCTAGTTTGAGTTGGTTTAGAATACTTAATTAATCACGTTCCCATTTTATCTAAATTAGTATTAGGAAGATAATATGTAGTTTGTTATCAAATTTTGTTATTTGAGACTTAGTTTAGGTTTAGATTACTATAAACTTGAAGGAGATATGGGTCCATATTTTATAGAAAGGGTCTAGGATTTTCTTTTTTCTAAGGGAGAAATACACTCTTAGGCTACTAGATTAGAGTTCTTAAGAGGTGTGAGTTGTAATTTAAGGGTTGCTGTGAGGGTTTTTAATATTTTTTAATAAATTATTGACGGCTTGTGGTTTTCTACCTTGCTAGTTTGTGAAGGGTGCTTTCCATGTGAAATCATGTTTCCATTGTTTTTTATTTTTCGTACCTTTAATTTGTTTACATCATCTTGTTTATTGATTGCGTATCCATTTCTACTATTGCTAACAAACCTTGTCATAAAGATTTTATTGTTATTTTCTTAACAAGATCAATCCACAAACTCCAAAGTTTTCTTATTTCTTAAAATATCGATCTGCCCTGCGCGGCTCATTACTCATTTCTCTAGTGCTTTCACATCCCCAATAATAATGCCATCTATTTCTCAACTGATGTCCCCACTTATTTCATTGCTCTTCACCAATTTCCCTGCCTTAATCTGTATTTTCGACAGAGTAGTGTGGTGTTATGGCCCCAATTTCTCTTCCTTAGTTTGGATTTTGTTCTTGTGTCATTGTAGTATGGTTTTCAGTTGTAGGTTGATTAAAATTTTGGTAGATTTAAAAAAAAAAAATGGGGTGAGATTAAATTGGGTGTAAATTAGGAAAATTGAAACCACATGTATATCATGTTCAATGTTTTAAACTCCTTGATTTATGGTAAATGATCATTCTTTTTGCAAGGGATTTAATGGTTTAAAATTTACATTAAATTTTATAATTGGGGGTAAAGTTTTAAAACTTTAAAGTTGGGGCAAAATATAAAATTTAGCTTAAATTTGGGGTTTAGATTAACAAAATTTAGCATTAAGGTGTTTATAACGAGGCAGAATGGGTGTACTCAAGGTTTATTAGGTTTGAAATCTTTGGATGTAGGCCCTACATATGAAAAATTTGACCGATTTTGTAGTAAGATAGTGCACTATAACAGAAACAATGTAAACGATCTCTGCTTACAAAGTCTAAAGTAATAGTTGAAAAATCTTCCAATAAAAAAATTGTGTACCTATTCCTCATAAAATGTATTGGAATACTTATCAAACCTGTGGTGTGTTGGGCTGGTGAGATTTCAAGAACTGTATTACAATAATTAGTGTATATGAGATTTGGAACCATGACATTAAGGAGAGTAAAACTTCCACTTTCTACATATTAACAACTCAATTATATCCTGTATATATTCTTGGAAATGCTATATTACTCCCTCCGTTTCATATTAAATGCAACACTAGGGTGTTCACAAAGTTTAAGAAAATTTATAGGGTGGGGCCCAAAAGAGGATTTTTTATAATATAAAGTATTGTTGGTAGGAGAGAGATATAATAAAAAAGTAGTATAAGTGGGGTTGGTAGGAAAGAGAAATAATAAAATATTTGTGAAAGTGGGGTTAGTGGGAGAGAGAAATTATAAAATAATGGTGGGTCCTTGCCAAAATAGTAGTGTTGCAGTTATTATGAAACGGCCGAAAATGGAAAGTGTTGCATTTAATATAAAACGGAGGGAGTATTACGTAATGAGGCCTCCATATTTAAAGGCCATTGTGTGATCAATGGTCGCATAGACTGCACATGCCAATAGCCTTACATGACTTAATACATTTTCCACCTAAACGGCATCCATAGTGGATATTCTTATTGATGTTCATGATGATGATGGCATAAAGTGTCAGAAATGCCGCATAATGGTGATTGATATTGGTAAATTTGACTTCATTGTTCATTATCACAAATGCTTTCCATGTGACTAATGGTGCAGTTGACGCAGTATTAATATTCTGTAGATTTCTCTTATTGCTTTTTGATTCTTTCGATGTATCTTTCTTGATATTGCCTCAATTGAGAAGGGGCAGATTGCTAACATCTAGACCACAGACCCCATATTACCATTGTAGGCGATGGTGGTGTTTGTGTCATCTTAACTTTCAGATGTTTATCTGATCATATAGCTACCTTTTTATGTTCTTTTTACCTTTGGTCTTGAAATATGTAGAAGAGTTTGGAAAATTGTAGGCTTTAATAGTGAAATTTGTTGCTTCTGTGCAGAACTGCCATTGTACTTGATTTTGGGTATGCTATGTGGTGTTGTTAGTGTAGTTTTCACGCGCTTAGTAGCTTGGTATACCAAGTTCTTTGAGTTCATCAAGGAAAAGTTTGGCCTACCTTCTGTTGTCTGTCCTGCATTAGGAGGTTTAGGGGTAGGGATCATAGCCCTCAAATATCCTGGAATTTTGTATTGGGGCTTCACAAATGTTGACGAAATTCTCCACACTGGGAAAAGTGCTTCAGCACCTGGAATCTGGCTATTGGCTCAATTAGCAGCAGCAAAAGTTGTAGCGACAGCTCTGTGTAAAGGATCTGGGCTTGTAGGTGGCCTCTATGCACCAAGCTTGATGATTGGTGCTGCTGTTGGTGCTGTTTTTGGAGGTTCAGCTGCTGAACTGATTAATTCAGCTTTACCAGGAAACACTGCTGTTGCCCAGCCTCAGGCTTATGCTCTGGTAAGTGGTAAATTGCACTTCGACTGGGATGCAATATTATTTTGATGTTGCTGTGATTTTTGTTTTTTCATAAAACTTAGTCCATATTGCAGGTTGGAATGGCTGCTACATTAGCTTCTGTTTGTTCAGTACCCTTGACGTCTGTTTTACTTCTTTTTGAATTGACTAAAGATTACAGGATATTGCTTCCACTCATGGTAAAGCTCTTAATCTTCGCTTTCTTGAGACTGGTTTCTTGTTCTTTAAACATGCTCAAGTATGCCAGTGCTCACCTACAGCTTACTGATGCCATAATTCTTGGTTCAAATCATATCCTTTCTTTTTAGATTTATAGCCAACAATTATATAAACTACTTTGTGACACTATTCATGAGATCTACATCCTAATTTTTGTCTCTGCTTTGGATGTTTCATTATCGTTTCAAATAATAAATTTCTGTAATCACCCTCCCCCCTTTTGCTCTTCTGCTAGGTTCTTAGATTTATCTTAAAGCTTGTGGACTTCTAGATTCTAGTTGTGTTTCCTTTATCCAATAAACTATTTTGCTACTTTATTCATGAGATTTACCTCATAATTTTTGTCTCTGCTTTGGATGTTTCAATATTATTTCAAGTAATAAATTGCTGTACCCCTCCTCCCCCCTTTTTTTGCTCTTCTGCTAGGTTCTGAGGTTTATTTTAGAATAGATTTATCTTAATGCTTGTGGAGTTATAATTCTAGTTGTGTTTCCTTTGTTCAATAGAGGACACTTTCAGTTGGACATGAAGGGGAATGTCATTTCAGCATAATATAAAGGCTAATAACTAAAACTGTCTTGTTGACAAATTTAATATTTTTCTTGATATCTGAATGTCATAAACCTTGATGTGATTCAACCTTAACCTTTTTGCCCGTATAATGAGGTGCAGTTGCCCTTCCCCGATAGATTCAATGAATTTTGTATTTAAGTGGTGAGCTTCAGTAATTTTTTTGCTTTCTACATGCATCTGATTGTACACCATTCCTCATCATAGGGGGCTGTTGGTTTGGCAATATGGGTCCCTTCTGTTGCAAATCAAAGAAATGAAACTGACTCAAGGAATCCAACAAGAGGCTATTCTTTTGTTTTTCCTCGAGATGATGCTGAGGACCCTGACAAGGGAACTGGAGATCATTTAGAGCTCTCTGTCATGAAAGATTCTCATTTTCTTAGATCAATCGATGAAGAAGTATCTCTAGATGGTTTGAAGGTAAACTTCTTTTTCACTGCTTGATGATTGCTGTATTCTATTCGTTAACTGGGCTTGATATTTCAAACATGATTTATCAGGTATCCCATGCTATGTCAAAGAACTATTTGAAGGTTGGCCTGGACACAACTTTGAGAGATGTGATGAAATATATGCGTGAAAATCAGCAGAATTGTGCCCTAGTAGTTGATGATAAGAATCTACTGGAGGGTATCTTGACGAGTGGTGATATGGAAAGGTGTTTGTCTAAAAATTCTGGCAACAGCAAGTCCGCACAACATGATGTATGTGATATTATTGCCTGTTTCATCTGTGTTTAATGATCTATAGAACTGTATTTATATTCACTTTGGTTATTGATGTGGTGGTGATGCAGCTGTTCTCTGTTTTGCCTATCAAGCATCCTAATGGATCCTTGGTTTTTTTTTTTCCTTCTATTCTTTTACCTTTGGTTTTTTCCTTCTATTCCTTTTAGTCATGAGAAGTGAGTTAATATAATTTATTATATGGTTAAGTCTTATTCTATCTGTATTTGTGAAACATGGAAATTGCTCAAGGGGTAGTGTCTGAAATGTGTTTGGTACACACCTGTGAGAAACAATGCTTTCAAAACTATAATCGGAACTCTAAGGAGGCTGACATAAAGCTTCTTCCCTCTTAAATGTTTGACGAGATGCTCAATATAATGCTCAAGCATCAAAAACTCAAAAATTGGGAAATACTTCCTTTGTTTTCTTTAAAATGCAATACACCTTTTTGACACGCTTTTTTAGGAGGTGATTCGAATAAGTAAACGAGCTACTTTATCAAAATTATTTTAACACCATGATTAGAGAAGGCTTAGCTAATTTGTGTATAAATTATTTTGATTAATTTGTGTGTTTACCTACTCTAATCACCTCCTAAAAAAGCATGAAAAAAAGGTGTGTTGCATTTAAAAGAAAACAGAGGAAGTATAAATTATGGAAGGGCAGTATTTTATGTCGAAGTAGGAAAAAAAATCTTGTTTTCCCCCTTCAAATGTTTCAATTTTTGTTTCCTGATTGTATGTTTGCAAGAATTACCATATCTGCGTTTGAGTGTTTCAGTTTCCATTTCTGCAATCCTTGCCATTTCCTTGTTTCTTAGATCTATGTAGAGGAGCCTTGCAGGAGTAAGGGATTTGGCAGCTTTCCGCACATTTTTCTTTTGGCTTCTTGTGAATTATGCATGACATCTATTTGTGGATTATTAACAGGTGTATGCATGTCCAGTTTATTCTGTCTGTACTCGTGGAATGAGCTACCGGGGTGTGGAGCGTGGTGTTTTGACTTGCTATCCGGATACTGACTTAGTGACAGCCAAGGATCTAATGGAGGCTAAGGGTATTGGGCAGTTACCAGTTGTTATGAGAGGTGGAGACTCCCGAGAAGAAAGAAGACGAAGAATTGTAGCTGTCCTTCATTATGATTCTATTTCAAACTATCTCAGGTATGTAGGCTCTCCATGTTTCATTTTTTCATCCTGATTTTTTTAAACTATCATTACATTTTAGTGGCTGCTGCAATGTAGGAATTTTACTGATCTACTCCCTGCGTACCCAAATAAAGTTATCAATTTTTCACAAAATGTTTCTCCAAATATAGTTCCCTTTCTTTCTTCTACTTTTTTTATTTTTTTATTTTTATTTTTAGAGTTGGCCCCACGTAATTAATACTTCGTGTAATTCAATAATAAAAATATAAAAGCCTTCAGTTGACCACAAACCCTTTTTTTTTTTTTTTTGCAAAATTACACTCATTGACACCAAGGGGTTTTGCATTTATTGTTACCAACTTGTACCACTTATTAGATTGACACGGTGACACCAACTTGTTCAAAAAAGCACAAAATTAACATTAATGATATCTAAGTGGGCCCACTTGCTAGCTAGTTAAATATTACTTTATTTAAATCATTTTAAGCATTTGTAAATGAATTATGAATATGTAACTTATTTTTATCAGTCAATTTATTTTATATTAAAAGAACCCCAAATTAACGAAATTATACGTAAAAGAACCCCAATTCTTTCTCTCTCCTCTTTCTTCAATATTTCTCATCTCTTTATTCTTGCGTTTTCTTCCTTTCTACTTAATTTCCCCTTCATCAGCTTTCCTTAATTGTAAGTTAGGTTGTCAAATTTTTGCAAAATTGAAAGGGAGACAATTTATAGAAGCTTATAATTTGGCGTCAACGGTTTTCGTTCCTCCAAATTCTTACAATGTTAAAACTTTCATACGAAAAATTAAAACTCCCATAGGCTTGTTTAAGCTTTAATATCTCCATTTTCATATCTTGATTCTCATTTTCAATCGATTTATTCAACTTTGGTTCATAAAAGTTAGGTTATTTGGGAGAGAAAAGTTGAAGATAAGGGAGAGTAAGTAGAGAAGATGATTGAAGAAAGAGGAGAGAGAGAGAATTGGGGTTCTTTTCGTATTTTAATTTGTGATTTTAAAAAAAACCATGTAATTAAAAATAAGTTACTGATTTCATACTACATAATTCATTTATAAATGCTTAAAATGATTTAAATAAAGTAAAATTTAACCATCTAACAATTGGGCCCACTCAAATATCATTATGTTAATATATTTTTTTTTATTTTTGAACAAGTTGATGTCAATCTAACAAGTGGTATAAGTTGGTGTCAAAAATGCAAAACCCTCCAAAGTTTGTGTCAATGAGTGTAATTTTGCCATTTTTTTTTTTACTTAACCAACAATACCCCCCTATTTTTTTCTCCATGTGATATTGAAGATAAATAAATAAAAAAGAAAACTTAACTATAGCCATTAACTTCCTTTTTTTACTCACCTTCATTAACAACGCCCACTACAATTTTTTCTCCTAACTTGTGCCTAAAAAAATTGGGAACTTTTTGTGGATGGGTGAAGTTCAGCATTTTCTTATAACGAATTGTTAAACTGAATACAATCCAATGGAACCTTGAATTGCGGTACAATATGAGCTACCATTTGATGGGCCTTTCCTCTATTTAGGTCTTTTAACTGGGATCATCTTCTTGTGTTTCATAATTTGATTTATTGCACTTTCACTGCACATTGCTGCGAATTCTGAGTCAATGTAAAGGATTTTTCTTTATTTCTGATTGGAGATTGATTATTGGAAAGTTATGTGCAATTCCAAACCCTTTTTTTTTCTTCGTGTATGACTGGAATTCTCTTAAGTTTTCACTTGCATGAGAGGAATCAATCCCTCTTAATTGTTTTTGTTGCAAACTTTACACTTGTGAATGAAGTTTACTCTTTGGACATGCGTGATACTCCCTTCGTAATTTTGTTACGTTCATTCTATTCCGAGTCCTTTCTATGGCTCCCCTGAGCAGATGCCAACGAGCTGCAGATTTATGGGGCTACTTGGTTGTCAATTTTGGGATTTGCTGTGTTAGCATTTGAAACATAAATTTCACTGAGTTGCATCTAAGAAGTGAAAGGCTATGAAATTATTTGGTTATTGAATTAGAGCTGCATGTTTCTAGGTGCGTGCTGGATAATTTATCTTCTAATAAATTACTCCTAATATTTCTGTTTCCTATAAAATTGATATTGTTAGGAAGGATTTGTATCGGAAAGAGTCCAGTGAGGTTCAGTTTCTTAATAATTTGCTATTGGTATTTTAGGTAAAACTCTGAAAAGCTTTTGGCTTGACTGCAATTATAGATGAAATCAAATTTCAATACTTACTGTGCAGAGAAGGCCACAAGAGTTTTCCACCTGATGTGTTATGTGCATTATAAGGCAGCTATATAAGCAAACAACTGTCTCATTAGACAATTACATTGAAACCCCCATCACGTACACTGCTGAATTAAGGTCATATCTGGTATAATATGGTTGAGAATGTGCAGCTGTTGCATATCACTTTTATAGTAGACAGGCCTCATACCCAACATCATCAGCATCATCATTTGTATGTTTCTTTATGCTTGTTAGTATTTCATGGACATGGTTTTTTTTTTTTTTTTTTTTTTGGAAGAGGACATGGTTTATTTTAATTCTGTTTCCAATCCTAATACTGTTATTAACATCACATTGAACGTCAACCATCATCTGCAGTGAAGAGCTTGCACATCAGAGACCACATCAGCGAGGGGAAGCAGGTCATCATGGAGAAATGGTTGCCAACGGTCACTAATGGTGAAGAAGGCGCTATTTTAATCTGCAGAATCCGAAGCTCAGTGCAAACTTATGATGATCTTCTGCGCTGAAGAGAATCATCATTGAGTTGAACTCTCACGACTAACCTTGGGAAGTACTGCAAGTAAATTTTAGCTCGAGTAAGACACATTATATAGAAGAATTGTTGCCACAACTATTGTATTGCTAGATGTATAAAATATGTAGGTATCTTTTGTCTGTCTTTCTAAAACACGTTCCCTTCTCTTTTATTTTATGCTTTTAGACTTGAAAATAAGGTATTCTCCCCCTCATTTTTAGGCTCTGGCTAATCTATGTCACCCCTCAACCTTGGGTCATTTTTAGCAAGATAATGCATGCCGAGCTCTTAGCCAATTGGCCTAGATCGAGCACGCTCTTGGTATTTGAAGCAAGGCCCTCCGGCTAGAGTGGGCTTGGCCCTTAGCATGACAAGCTAAGCTCTCGGCATCTCTCAGCCTAGAGCAGGCCCTCAACTCCTTCCGCTCAACCTATTCAATCACTCTCTCAGCTTGGCCTCCCTCCTCTCGGCCTATTCAATCACTTTCTCAGCTTGGCCTCCCTCCGCTGCCTATTCAATTACTATCAGCTTGGCCTCCCTCCGCTCGGCCTATTTAATCACTCTCTTAGCTTGGCCTCCCTCTGCTAGGCCTATTCAATTACTATCATTTTGGCCTCCCTCCGCTCGGCCTATTCAATCACTCCCTCAGCTTGGCTTCCCTTCACTCGGCCTATTCAATCACTCCCTCAGCTCGGCCTTTCGTTCATCACAATACATATCCCTCGGCTTACTTAAGTGAAACAAAGGAAAAATTCCCTCGGCCTGCCTACCTAAGGCCCTCGGTATTGCACTCTACCCCTGGCGCTCGGCAATGCTTCCCGCCCCCAACCTTTCGGTTTTCTTAAAAAAAAAAGTTAAAAATGATGATAGCAGATCATTGGCATAGCTCTCAGCACGAAATTTCTCAAAGTACCTCCATGTGGGGGTATAAGGCACTTGGTTTATTTCTCAAGGTACCTCCGCCTTAGGTATAAAGCACTTGTTTTTATTCTCAAAAGTACCTCTGCCCGGGTATAAATCTTCTTGGGTTTTTATTCTCAAAGTACCTCCACCCAGGGCATAAAGCTTCTTGGGTTTTTATTCTCAAAGTACCTCTAGAAGCTCTCGGCTCTCTCTCCATCAAAACCCAAGCTATCAGTCTATCTGCATAAAAGAAAGAAAGCTCCCC